GGTCCAGTCCAACGAGGAAGATCAGGTATCCAGGGGACCGTACCATCGCGCCGTCTTTCCCTCGGTTTCGGCCCAGGGGAAGTCTAACCGAAGCGCTAGGGTCCAGTTTGACCATGACTGCGGACGCAATTTTGACGCAGCGCGGGACGAGTCAATTTCCGCTGCTGCGCCGCATCATCTTCCGACAGCCCGCGCGCAGCTCCCCTCGCCGCCAATGGCCCCCGCGCGCACACACCTCTCTCTCTCTCTCTCTCTCTCTCTCTCTCTCTCTCTCTCTCTCTCTCTCTCTCTCTCTTTCTCTCTCTCTCGTGCCCGCGCGCACGCGTGTGCACGCGCAGCTCTCCGCGCTGCGCAGCGCCACTCAGCTCCCCACGCAGCTCCCTCTCTCTCTCTCTCCCTCTCTCTCTCTCTCTGTCTCTCTCTCTCTCTCTCACACACACACACACACATACACACACACACACACACACACCCACAATCAATCAATCAATCAATCAATCAATCAAACCTTTTTTTTCTTCAAGTTTTTTGTTTATTTATTTTTAAATTTTGTATCTTTATTTTTCTAAAACACCTCCTACCCCTGCAAAAAACAGAAATTCATTTCCAAAAAATACAGGTGACCTCAGGGACCATATATCTGATGATAAAAAAAATCCAACTTTTCTTTATATATATATTTTTTATTTTCTTAAAATCGAATTGAGTTTTTGATTTAAAAAGAATCCTAAACAAAATCGGATTCCAAAAACAAAAATATGGGGTTGTAGGGCTTAAAATTCCCTACAACCCCATATATACCGCGGACCCGTCTGCGTCCGCCATCCGAGATTGGACCTGCAGACGCGTCCGCGGGTGTTACATAGCCCGCCTCCTCCTGCCCCTCCCCCTCCTCCTCCCCCTCCCTGCCCTTCTTCTTCTTCTTCTTCTTCTTCTTCTTTTTCTTCTTCTTCTTCTTCTACTTCTAGTACTTCCTCCTCTCCTTCAACATCCTTTTCTTCGTCCTCTTCTTCTTTGACTTCCTCCTCCTCTAGTTTGCCTTCCTCTTCCCCTCGCCGGCTGAGACCGGCCCCTCCTTTATCTTCGTTGTCCATATTGGGGCGCCGGCGGGCTCGTTCATTCTCTCCTCCTCCCAGTCCCCCTTCCTCTCGACGTCGTGCTGATGTTAATCTGTGGGGTTCTTTGTCTTACCGACAGCCTGCTCTGCCACATCGACAGCGTTCGTCGTTTTTACGCGCCGACCCCGCCAGATCAGACCTGCCTTTCCAGTGGTGACCGATTCGGATCTGCGGGTTCTGCGAGTCCCCCGCATAGATAATATTTCTAGCATTCTTTTTTTTTAACCACGAGCGTACGTTGACAGAGCTGCCTTCCACGGCTGGCGAGCAGCGTTCGCTACTGGCCCTGGCCTGAAGCATTATGGCCTTACCGCAGAAAACCAAGCATTATTGGCTTTTACAAATTTTGTAGTTTTGTTTTTGCACCCCGAGGCGTAAACTCGGTGGCGTGTTAGCAATGAAGGGTGGAGCAGCTCTCTCTCTCTCTCTCTCTCTCTCTCTCTCTCTCTCTCTCTCTCTCTCTCTCTCTCTCTCTCTCTCTCTCTCCCCCCTAGTGTTGCAACGACATGATGTGCAAAAATGAAGTCTAGTTAGGTGTGGGCGGGTGTGGGTGAGGTCTAACTAGGTCATGGGTGCGGGGAGGTCCGGGTGCGGTGACAAGTGCGAGTGGGTCTGGGTGAGGCTTTATTTCAGGTGTCGGGCGGGCTGAGCGAAGGTGGGAAATTTTGAAAAATAGCTGGGCTGGCTGGCTCGAAGTGAGGCACAAAGAAACATGGTTGGGCGAGCGTGGGTCAAATTAGAAAAGAATTGGGCGTGTCAAGCGTGGGTGAAAGGTAAAACAGATAATAAGGCTCACCTTTGCCTCCGTTCCAGCGCCATCCGCTTCCACTGTTCCAACGCTTGACACCCCCGTTCGTTCCAGTCCATCCGTTACGTACGCTGTTGTTCCGATTGTTCCCATTTCCTCCATCCCCCATCTGTAGGGGTCCATTGCTTCCGCCCTGCAGTCGGGAACCACCGTTTCACAGTCCCCATCCTCCGCCCCCTCCGTTACCCTGAAAATCACCGTCGACTGCTGTACTCCGCCCCCTTAAATACCATTGTCTGTCAGATCATGGATCATGTCCAACTTCCTGTGTCCTCTGAAACTCGAAGCTCTTATTTGGTCATACTACTCCAGCTTGTCTTGTTCTTCCGTCAAAGTGAGTCCTCACACTGTAGTCCCGCCGCATAGTCATCACCGTGCATCAACAGCACCTGACGGTGTCCTACCTTCGCACGATTATCACTTCTCACGTCCTTCAGTCACTCCACATAGTCGTATCCAGTGGTGGTTTGTACAGGGCCGCCTACCATCTTCACCCGAATAGAACGCCGGTAATTATCACCCGTATCTGGGCTGAAAGTTGTGCCAAGTACAGCTATAACGACCGGGTGTTCTATTCGGCTGAATACGGTAGATCCCAGTGTAGCAACTCCCGGCCGGTTGCCTCTGTCAATATCGATGCAGAGATGAGAGTGAGTCAGCATTGACTGACGGTGCATGGACCACACGAATGCATCGTCACTCAAGCAGAGATAGAACTCAAACGCCGAGCAGAGAAATTGTGGTAATCTCGAAAATCTGGAAAGTCCACTCTTCTGAAGATTACACAATCAGCACCGAGAGACGACAGCACGCCATAGGTGAATGTGGCATACTGTGCAGCCACACGGGCCCTGCAGGGCCCGTCCCGGACCTCCAGCCTGTTTCCCTACAGGGAAACTTCCAGGCTCTTGCCTGGAAGCTTCCTTCTGACAGGGCCTACAGGCCCCAGCCTGTTTCCCTACAGGGAAACTTCCAGGCTCTTGCCTGGAAGCTTCCTTC